GCGCTCGGACCGCCAAGGGGGGCGCGCCCGGATGCTTTACACTCTCGCCCGCTTCGGCGCCCTCGCATTGACAGGCGCCCCCACTGGTGGTCGCCGTGAGGTGCGCGCTCTGCGCGGCCGCGCCGCTCTGGCACTGTCGGGGGGTTTCGTCTCCTCGCGCCGCCATGTCGACCCTGCGGGGACTCAGCGCGGGGACTCCCGCGGGGACAGACCGGCGGGCCCCCGCCTGCGACTTCCTCGCGAGTCACTCACAGACGAGGCCCCCGCCTGATACATTTTCCTTATTCAAACCCTCCGGAGGCCAAAAGCGACGACAGCTGCACGCTTCGGATGGAGAGGCCCCCCGCCTGAGACTCCGTCACAATTCATTCACAGACGAGGCTCCTGCTTGATATTTCTTCCAGATTCACACCACATGGGCCCAAAAGCGACGACAGTTACACGTTTCGCATGGCCCGCCTAGGATTGCCAACATGAAGTTCGGGCCCCATAAGGAGAGGCCCCCGCCTGCGACTTCGTCGCAAATCATTCACAGACGAGGATCCCGCCTTATATTTTTTCCATATTCAGGCCTGAGGATCCCAAAAGTGACAACAGCGACAGGTTTGGGATGACCCGCTCGGATTGCCAACATGAGGCGCGGGACCCATGAGGAGGGGGCCCCCGCCTGAGACTTCCTCGCAATTCACTCACAGACGAGGCTCCCGCGCGATGCTTCCTCCATATTCAGGCCTGGGGGTCCCAAAAGTGACGGCAGTTACAAGTTTGGGATGACCCGCCTCGGATTACCGACATGAAGTGCGGGACCCGTAGGGAGGGCCCCCCCGCCTGAGATTTACGACAGTTACAGGTTTGGGATGACCCGCTTCGGATTACCAGCGTGAAGTTCGGGCCCCATAGGGAGGGGGCCCCCGCCTGAGACTTCCTTGCGACCCACTCGCAGACGAAGCCCCCGCTTGATATTCTTTAATATTCAGGCCTGGGGGGCCCAAAAGTGACGACAGTTACACGTTTCGGATGGCCCGCCTCGGATTGCCAACGCGAAGTACGGGACCCATAGGGAGGGTGCTCCCGCCTGAGACTTCTTCGCAATTTACTCGCAGACGAGGCCCCCGCGTGATGCTTCCTCCACATTCAGGCCTGGGGAACCCAAAGGTGACGACAGTTATTGGTCTGGGGTGACCCGCCTCGGATTACCAACATGAAGTGCGGGACCCGCAGGGGGGAGGCCCCCGCCTAAGACTTCCTTGCAATTCACTCACAGACGAGGCTCCCGCTTGATACTCTGGCCATGCTGGTGAATGTGATGAGTAAGTGAATGAGTGATTGAGTGGGTGGGTGAGTGAGTGAGTGATGATGATGATGAATGAGTAATACAGTGATGATGGTGACGATGCTGATGATGGTCGATGATATGACGATGGTGGCGTGATGATGATCATTAGATGATGGTGATAATCGCTGGCCGATGATGGCGATCGCACCGAATTCCTTTCATGTGCTGGTGGTGGTGCTGATGATGAGGATGCTGACGATGATGATGACAGATGGAGTGGGGCGAAGTGAGGAGGGAGTGAGTGATGATGATAATGATGGTGAGTGGGTGAGTGAATGATCGAGCGATGATGGTGATCACCAGAACGATTATGATCATGAGGGGCGATGAGGGATGATGAGTGACGATGATGGCGGTGGTGGGAAGAGAGAAAGAGAGAGAGAGAGAGAGAGAGAGAGAGAGAGAGAGAGAGAGAGAGAGAGAACGCGAGAGATGGGGAGACACAGAGAGGGGGCGCGGGAGGGCTGCGCGGGGGGTGCAGAGAAAACAAAAACCCCACTTAGGATGTGTCGTCGCAATCCTCGTGCGAAACAATCGCGACGAGGACGACGCAGGCTCTCCGGACGGCGAGGACGAGGGCGCAGGCGGCCTGGGCGGCGACCCCGCTGCGGCCAGTTTTGCCGACAGCGTGTACTCGACGCCCAGCGCGTGCATCGCCGCCCTGGTCGCTGGGTTGCCGGAGAACGAGAGACTCACGCGGGGCCAGACGCTCGTCGTCGCCAAGTTCGCCAAGGCCTGCGACAACGCCTGGGTGGACGACGTGCAGAAGAAGCCTTGGGGCGAGAGAAAAGTGACGCACTTGTTCCTGTCAAGCCAGGGCGGCTCGGGGAAGACGCACGTGGTGCAGAAGATCGTCTTCCCAGTGGTGGAGTATTTGCGGCCCTCGTCGGCGCAGGACAAGGGCGCCATGATGGTCGTGGCCATCTCGAACGCGCAGGCGAAGAACATCTCCGCGGAGACGGCGAAGGCCAGAACGCTGCACAACGCCTGCGCCCTGCGAGTCCAGAAGTACATCAACGCGAAGATGAGACCGGGGGGCATGCAGAAGAGGTTGCAGTGGTTGTGGCAGCACGTCCGCGCCCTGGTCATCGAGGAGGTAAGCATGGTGGCAGCTGCTTTGTACAACGCGCTGAACCCTCGCGCCTGCCACGGGCGCAGTGACACGCACGACGTGTAGGAGTCCACCTACAGGAGGCCGCGCCACCACTTCGGCCGCGTCCCCATCGCGTTGCACCTCGGGGATTTCCTGCAGCTGAAGCCCACCGGCAGCATCGGGCTCCTGACGGACGTGAACGAGCTCCTGGACGACGGGTCGTGCAAGTACGCGGAGCCGCCGACGGTGGAGATCCAGCACGCCATCAGGGTCTTCTCTCAGATTCCCTGCGTCTTCGAGCTGATGGGCACAACGCGCTTCGAGCCGGGGTGCCCTCTGATCGCGCTCTCGGGCTGCACGCGCGAGGGCAAGCGCTTCCCACCAGAGGTCTGGTCTGCCTGGGAGAAGACGTTGGCCTCTGACAGCCACGGCGTCCTGGACCCACGGCACCAGCACGAGAACTTTCTGCTCGGCTACGGCGTAGGCATCTACTGGAGACGCTGGCGAGGTGGATCAACACGCGTGCTCGTCGCGACGCTCGGCGTCTGGGCGCGCCCTTCGTTTTCTTGCAGGCCGTGGACGAGTGCGGCGCGATTCAGGGTGACCCAGACGCAGGCCGGCGCCTCCTGAACGTCCCGGACATGCATAAGACGGGGGACATCCACGGCGTCTTACGGGCACACGTTGGCATGGAGGTTCGGTTCACGGCCGTGCAGGAGGAGCCGAATAAGAAGTTGGGGTTCGTGCACGAGCAACGGGCCATCATCGTGTCCTTCGAGTTTCACGCAGGCGACGAGCGGGACTACGAGGGGCGCGCGCCGGGCCAGCTTCCGCCCCCGCTACCTACCGCGTGGAATCTGGCTGCAGGTGCACGGCTTCCAGGGGCCCACGATCTACAAGGAGGTCGCCGGGGTGCTGCAGCAGGGCGCCGATGCCGCCGACGACGACGGCGAGGCCGAGGCGCGGGCGAGGAGCTTGCTCATGTTCGGGCCCAGCGGGCAGGATCTCACGTGGCGAAGCTCGGGGGCGCACGCTGCGCGCCGCTCTGGGTCCACCCTGGCGCGCGCGCCCTGCCTGACCTCGACGCTGTCGCAGGGCCAGACGCTGCGCAAGGGCGTCGCCATCGACTGCGCCAGGGGCGAGGGCGCTGGCCGCACGGGCATGTCGGACGAGATGTGGTGGCTGCGCCTCTGCGCCATGTTCTCCCGCGCCGCGTGCATGCGGAACGCGCTGATCCTGCGGCCGCCCGGTCGAGAGTTCCTGGAGCGCGGGCCGCCGGCGCCGCTGCGGAAGGCGCTCCAAGAGTTCGACAAGAGAGCGGTGGGCTCCAGGGCTGAGGCGGAGCAGATCGCGGCAGAGCTGGGCTTCGTGCTGCCGCCCGCCTGGGCGCCGCGGCGCGCACCTGGAGGCCCGCGGGGTTGTCCCAACGGCTGGCCCCGCGCCCCCGCGGCCTGCGAGGTTGCCCCCGCGGCCTGGTCCGAAGGGTTGCCCCGGCGGCTTCGCGATCTAGCCGTCGGCGAACGCGCGCGCGCTGGCCGACGCGGCGACGGCGCCGAGGAAAATCGATTTGCTTGCCCCGACCAGGGGGAAGGGGAGGTGCACGTGGAGAAGATTAGGAGGAGGACGAGGGGGGGGGGGCAGGGGCACGGGGGCGGGCGATGATGAGGTGGAGGTGGCGCAGGAGAAGGGGGCGAAGCATGATGAGAAATATAAGGAGGAGGAGAGGGCAGAGCAGAGGGCGAGAGGAGGGCGTGCTCCAGGGGGAGGGGGAAAGGGCAAAGGGCAAACATATTCTCATGTGGGGTCCCACCGTCGGAGTATTTTTTCGTCGAAAATCCCCCTGTAGGGGGACAGGCCCGACATGGCCCTACCCCTACCCCCCGCGCGTCCTGAGATTGCGATTTTACCGTGGGCCGCCCATTTTGGTTTTGAGGGTTTCTTTCGAAGCATTGGCATCTAGTCAAGATGGTTTCAGAAGTCTGCGCTAAATCTTGAAAGCCTTCCTGGCCCGCCTGGGGCCTCCAGAGAGGGCATCCCAGTTCGTTCGGGAGCTCCCGAGCGAGGTGAACCCCACCCTCCCCCTCGGAAGTCGCTTGGGGTAGGGGCAGGGCTCGCGTGTGCCCCCCCCCCAAACCTCCCCCGCCTCCTCGGCTGCGCCTGCTTGGAGGTGAAGTTCAGCATCTGAGTTTTCGTTTGGACGTCCGCGGTCGACCGCCGACGTCGTGCTCGTGCCCGACGCCGCTTAGCTCCCGCTCGATCCTGGGTGTTTGACCCGGCCTGCGCCTGCCGAGCGGCTCCTCCCTCGGGCCCGCCCGCGCCCTCAGTCGTTCTTGCGAAGACCTCCCAGGAGCCGAAGTCTAACGTGAGTCGGGTTTCGCGCTCTCCGCAGGAGGAAGATTCAAGAAATAGTCCAAAAATAGTCGAGCGATGTTTTTTTTCCTCAAAAGAAAAACAACACATTCGACAATTTGTTAGGATGATGTGTCGAGTGTGTTTTTATTTTTCGTCCAACATCCGCCTGTAGGGGGACGCCCGACCTAAGTCCAACGAGCCTTGCCGCGCGCGCGGCAGGCACGGTGCGGCGAAGGGGCAGCGCGCTGATGAAGGCGGGCGCGCGCGGCTTCCCCCCAGCGCGCGGCGCTGCCGCCCCTGCGATCGCGCTGCTGCTTCGGAGCGGCCCTCTCGAGGGGCCCTTCAAGTGGCTCCCCCTGCGCGGCGCGGCGGTCCGCTTGTCGGGTGAAGGAGAAGCGACACCACCACCACCTCCGCGGGGGCCGACTCTAGCGAGGAGCTCCACGCTGCCCCCCGAGTTGAGGATTTGGGACGTCTGGAGCGAGAGGAGGGGGGACCACACCACCAGGGGGACCCCTCCGGCTTCTCTCGATGGTGGTCCCCTGTGGTGGCGGTGGTGGTGGTGCCGCTCTTCCTCATTCATGCGCCTGCGCGCCGGCGGGCCTCGGCGGCCCTCCCCGGCGGCGTCGTCGCCGCCGTGGCGGACGCGGTGGCGATGTGCCGCTGCTCGTCCTCGAGAGCCCTCGTTGACTCGGCAGGCCTCTCCTCGAGACTCTGGCCCGGGCGCACCCCGGGAGAGGTCCGTGGAGTGGCGCCATCTCCGAGGCCCGGAGGTTGACGCCAGCACCGATGTCGGCCGTTCGGGGGTGGACAGAACCCCCAACAATGACACGTGAATTGTCCGTTTTCGGTTCTCGAGAGGGCGCCGCGGCCGGTATTGCGCCCGCCAGGTTTGGGCCTCAGGTCGTTTTCAGTAAACCACGTTTTACTGAAGGGGGGTCTGTCCGTCCCCGAGCCGTGTGCCTCCACCGAGGGAGGGTGGTCCCGAGCTCGGCGAGGGGTCGTGCTGTTCGGGCTTCGCAGGTGGCCAGCAGATTGCCATCAGCATTAAGATCCATGATTATTGGTGTTTATTTTTGTGGTGCGAAAAGGATCCAGGATCCAGGATTAGGGATCCAGCATTTTCGATATAAAAGTAATCCAGAATTGTCATCCAGGGTTACTTTTATATGGTGGAGGTTTTTTTTGTGTTGGTTTTGGTGCTCATCTCCAGGCCTCCAGCTGTGGGCATCCTCTAGTCTCCCCAGTGGTCTTCGGGCTGGGCTCGTCGTCGTCGTCGTCGTGGGCCTCTTCTCGTCTCCCCAGTTGTCCTCGGACTCGTCGTCGTCGTCGTCGTCGTGGTCACCCAGGGTCGACGTCGTCGTCGGAGTCGCTCGCCGGCGCCCCTGCCGGGATCAGTGTTGCCGCCACCGTCGCCGTCGTCGGCGGCGGAGGCGGAGGCGGAGGCGGAGGCGGAGGCGGAGGCAGAGGGAGCTGGAGGGCGGGAGTCCGAGGAGGAGGGTCGGAGTGCCCCACCGCCCTGCTCCAGGGGAAGAAGGTCCCACCCTTCCGTGCCATCCCCTTGCTCCCCTCCTGGGGTTCGGGGGCGGCAAAGAGGGGGGTGATGACTAGGGGGGGGGGGGGATATCATGGCGGGGGCCATGACATTTCCCCAGATTTCTTGGCGCCCCTTCTTAGTTCATCACGTCCCTGGTCCCCCCGCTGGGCCGCGCATATGCCCCCGGTCGTGATCTGCCCCCCCCCCCCCCTCTTGGACACCCCCCTCTTGGCCGCTCCCGAGGGGTGCGAAGGAGCCCTGGCCTGCTGTTTCATGCCTGCCCGCCCGCCGGGGAGGTCAGGCAGGGCGAGGGAAAGCTACACCTGCATACCCATACGGCCACCCTTCGGGTGATGCGGTGCGCCGGGGGGAGACACCAACGTCTCACTCACTCGATCTCACTATCGATCACATTCTTGATCTCATTCTCGATCCCGCTATCGATCTCACTAGTGCTTGTACGATCGATCTCACTTCGATGTCACCAACGGTCTCGCTATCGATCCTACTATCGATCTCACCATCGATCTGACTATCGATTATACTACCGATTTGACTATAGGTTCCACTGTCGATCTCACTACCAGTCTCCCTATCCAGCTCAATAGGGGACACCGACGGGACACCGTCGGGACACCGATGGGGCGCCGACGGGACATCATTATCCCTCTCTCTATCCATTTTAATATCGGCCCACCATCGATTTCACTATCGATCTCACTATTGATCTCACTCTCGATCTCACTATCGATCTGACGGAACACCGCGAGACACCGACGGGATTCCGACGAACCACCAGCAGGACACCCTTGGCCATCGCCGCCCAAGGAGGGGGTGGGGTGGTCAATTGGCCTGGCGGCGCCCTAGCCAGTGGAGGTTTGACTCCTCCCGCCCGCCCACGCACCTTCGCCTCGCACGCACGACACGATCACGAAGCCGAAACCGACTTCTCGGGGGGGGGGCTTCCCCCGTTTAATTGCGATCTCACCCCCTTATCTCCGATGCATATCCGTGTTAGCCAACGTGGACCCCAACAAGTCATTTCTTACAATCTGTGCGGTGCACTATAGGTGGTGTAAACAATGGTGCAACCAAGGTGCTGCAATACATGTGGTACTATCGATGCGGTGCAAAGCAATGCAACGCAAGGCGAACTGGTGCAAACCAATACACAGCCATGCAGGGCAATGCAAGACAATGCAATGCAACGTCATGCAACGCAATGTAACTCGGGTCAAAGCAATGCAAATAAATGCAACGTGATGCAACGCATTGCAAAGTTGCAAACCACTGCAACGCGATGCCACGTGGATGCAATGCAATGTATATCAATGCAATGCCATGCAAAGCAATGCGTCTTCACACAGAAGTAGAAACCAATGCACATTGGTGCACTGCACCGCAAGCAATGCACAGGAATGTAACGCAGAGCATAGCAATGTACAGCAATTCAACGACATGCAACGCAATGCAACGATCTGCAATGCAGCGCATCGACGCGATACAGTTCACTTCAAACCAACCAATGCAACGTAATGTAACGCAAAGCAATGTAACGCACGCCAAAGAAATGCGGCGCATTGCAACATAATGCGACACAAGGCAACGCAATGCAACGCAATGCAAAACAATGCAATGCAATGCACAGCGATGCAACGCAATGCACAGCAATGCAACGCCATGCAACGGAATGAGACGGAATGCAACGCAGCGCAATGCAGTGCACACCAATGCAACGCAACGCAAGGCAACGCATCGAAATGCAACGCAATTCACTGCAGCGCAATGTAAAGTCATGTGCAGCAACGCAAAGCAATGCACAGCAATGCAAAGCAATGCAACCCAATGCAATGCGATGCAACGCAACGCAATGCAGCGCACTGCAACGCAATGCAGAGCAAGGCACAGCACTGCAACAGCACGCAACGATTCGATTACAACGGGGTGGGTGCAACAGGGTGGCGGCGACGCGGCGGCGACTGGGCTGCGACGGTGACCACCAAGCGGCGGACCCGACAGCGGAACCGAGACGACGGGCGGCGACTCGGCTGCGACGGGGCGGCGACGGCGACCGCAAGGTGGCGGTCCCTACAACGGGGCCCATTTTCTCAGACATGAAGTACGGATCTGTTTGTAAAAGCACCCAGCTTGAGGAGTATACATCTGCCATACCCTTTTACGCCTGGAGAAATCAGACGCACCTACATGAACGCAAACACATGCAAATACTCGGACAACCACCTGTGCATAGGAACATCACACACATTCACATCTCCATACGGACATACATTTACACACACAGACATACGCATATGCATATGCACATGCATCTGCATGTGCAACACATTTACGGACAGACATTTACGGACAGACATTTACGTGTCCGTATGCGCATGCATCTGCATACGGACAGACATGTACACACAACTATGTATATGCATGCACGTACATACAATAGCATATCCACAACAATGCGCATGTACATATGCACATACATGTACATGCGCATGTACACACAAACGAAGCCGGACCTAAACAGCGCATTGCTACACGGACTGCGATCTAGCACATGCATGCACGATTTCGTAGCACATGCGCATGTGCCTATTTAGACCTACCTATGTGTTTACATATGCATCCAACCACAACAGCATATACATATGGTTTCGCATGTGTGTATCTCTACACATGTACGTATTGCTATGCATGCATATGTGTATGTATGAACACGAACAGTTGTGCACATCGGTACATGCACATATACTTATCTATCTTCTTCCGCCTACGCTTCTTTCGCCTACGCGCTCCGGCGTATGGCATGAGTGAGTGAGTGAGTGTATAGATGTACACGATCGTATTTACATGTATTGATATGCCTTCACGCACATCCGATCCACACCCAATACGTGTACATATATGTGCATATGCATGCTCTTGCATATGCATGTTCAAGTGCACATTTCCGTACACTATACGCTTCATTCATTGCACGTGAGAATGTACTTAAATCCATCTGTCTCCGACAATTCTGCCACCGTGCCCGCGTAGCTTTCTGGTTCACACCTATTCGTGAAGGCAAGAGGGCCTGCTGGGGGCCTCTTGGGGCAGAAGGCTCGACTTGGGCCTCTGGTGTGGCGGTCTTCAGGCCCTTTTGGGCAGTCTTTGGCGCCTCTTGAGCCGTCTCGGAGCCCTCTTGGCCGTCTTGGAGCTCTCTTGGGGGCCTCTTGAGCTGACTCGGGGGGTCTGAGGCGCCCCTGGGGCCGTCTTGCAGCGTCAGGAGCTCGAAAAGGCGAGAACCCAACACACATTGAACAACCATCGGAAAATCATGAGATTCAGCTTCTCGGGGCCCTCTTGAGAGCCTCTGTTGGCCCTCTTGGGGCCTCCGGAGCCTTTATTGGGCGGCAGGCTCGAAAGGTTGGCTCGTGTTTTTTTTTTGTGTTTTTTTGCTTGGGGCCATCTGAGGGCCTCCCGTGGGCGTTCTTGGGCACCTCGCGGGTCGTCTCGGAGCCCTCTTGGGCCGCCTTGGGGCCCTCTTTAGGGCCTCTACGGCCGTTTTGGGGCGGTCCTTGTCGTCCCTTGGATCGACTTAGGACGTCGGAAGCTCGAGAAGGCGAGAACCCGACCACACGTTGAACAACCTTAGGGACATCAATGATGTTGTGCCTCTCGAGGCCCTATTGGGAAGGCTCTAGGGGCCCTCGTTGGAAGCGTCGA